TTATTCAGAAATAAATTACCTTTGGGTCCAAAATTTAACTGATGCTGAACATGCTTGAATAAACAATGTGCAGCTGCATCTATGGAAACGTCTGCTGAGGTCATTGAACTTGGAAATTCTACTTGACTTGTCAAAGAACTTGATGAAACATATTTCTTTACTGTTCCTTCTTGAAAAGCTCTCATATCTTCAGTAAGCCTATCCCTCATTTTGCATAACAGTTGCACAGCAGCTCTTGTTTGGCTCAAGTGGAAAGAGTCATTGAGAAAATCACTAATGTTGGTACAATTTTGTGTTTCATCTATAGGTAAGCCATATAGTTTGAGTGTCAAGTGGAACTGGCTCTCTGACAAGTGAGGATTTTGAAGCAGAAATCTTCTAAGCAAGGACTTTGATTTACCAAGAACTTCCAAGGATAATATAAGATCTCCAAACGGTATCTGTCCAGATTTATTGAAGTTATCAAGATATTTATCCAGTTTTTCTGCTAATGAAGGCTTTGTCTGCAACTTATGATAAACCTGACAAAGAAGAGAGTGACAAAAAATTACCTTTTAAGACTTTTAAAACCCCAGTATCCAATTAATAATTCCCACTTTTACCTCATTACAATTGCTCAAGTTAAAGATAATTTGGTGTTTAATTGATATAACAGCCACCTGCTGAGAAGTTTGTCTAGATTCTTACAGTGTATCGCCTATTTAATGTGTAATTTAATGATTGGTATGCATCGAAATTGTGAGAAGAGGTTTCCTGTAAATCTCTTACAAAAATGCCTCAGTGCCCTTAGAGGCCATAACCTGATAGTAGAACTACTATTATTTAAAACTGGATCATTGGATAATGCAATTCAAGACTTTTTATTGGTTTAGCCATTATGGTATATGAGCCAATATACCATAATCTACAAATATGGCAAGCATACCTGTCAGCTTAAAACTAAAAGGGAGCTAAAACTTTGATAAAATTTAATAACTTAACTTAACGTTTTTAATAAAACAATTATTCCACTCGCTCTTGTTGGATATGAGATGATTATAGCCAACTCGGCGCTACGTGCCTCATTGGCTATCTATCATCTCATATCCAACACATGCTCGTGGAATAATTGTTAATTATATTAGGTGTCTACACATGTATATTCAATAATTTAAAGACAGACAACACAGACAGTGTGATAAACAAATACACACTGATTACATATATTAAGTCATTGAGTGGAAATGTATGCTGCGTATGCTTTACAAGTAAATGACATCATGGTTTCTAGTCTTATCCCCCACAAATACATCTCTAGTTACTGTAACAGATTGTACGTGGGTTGATCATCTTCTATGAAACTAACTAAGAGACAAGATAATGACAGGGTGTCTCGAAACTTCAGACCTCAGACCTCAGACCTCGAAACTTCAGACTCCTTGAAAAGTGATTGAGATTTTTGTTTTAATGCAGTTAAAAAAAGAAAAGTGATTGAGATTTATGTTTTAGCGCAGTGAATGAATATTTAGGGCCTATCCGCACTAGCAACAAATTTTCTGTCATCACCAACACTGTATAAGTGTAAATGGTTTCTCGTGACTTGACAGTTCTTCGAAGCTGACAAATTTTCAGACACGCTGCCAACAAAATTTGTCCCGCGTAAACCTTGGCAAAATCTACTAAATAAACAAAACCGTGATAAACTTGTCAATCATTTTTTGTAAACGCTAACACCAGCGTGGTGGTAATTGAACTGATTTCAGTTTACCAAATAATTGCAGTGATTGTCTTTCATTGCAAAACTCGCAAAGTTTACAATTTCAGACAAATTAAGATGAATCCTGGTAACTGGAGTTTGAATTCATATGAAATTTAAAGGGGTCTAAAGTTTCGAGATCTTGAAACTTCAGACCCTTGACCCCTTGAAAAAAGATTGAAATTGTAAATGCAGTTCTACATGAATGAAGATTTATTTACGATAACTGTTGTGACTAACCCCAAGTGTCAAGTCTCTCAACAATCCCGCATTGATAATTAGAGACAGGTACTGAAGATTTCCTATATTTTTAGTCAAAACAAAAACGAGAACGACAAGAACAATGGCAAAATTATTTCACTTCCTCGGGTGTAATCTCTGAAAAAACAGAAAAACATGAACTCCCCAGACAGTGCAACGATCGATGTCCTACATGTTAATACCAGAATAATGTGTTTTCTGTAAACTTATCTTCTTTAATCTTCTATAATAGTTATACTCCTAAATCAGTGAGAACTATACTATGAACCCCCTGGAAATATCTGATTATTTAGATCCGATATTTCAAGTCGCAAGAAACCATTCGCACTTATCAACAACAACAACAACAACAACATTGACTTTACTTTTTAAAATTAAAGAAATGAAGGCCTTTGTAGCCTGCAGATAGCAAAGCTATTCTAGGCAGGCTACCAAAACAGACACTGTATATGCTCTCACACTTAGCGGAGCTCAAAACTCCACAACCCTCTTGACCAACATCTGCTGACCAAACTTATACAGTGTCGCTGATGACAGAAAAATTGTCGCTAGTAATTAGCTGCGTTAAAACATAAATCTCAATCACTTTTCTTTTTTTAACCGTGTTAAAACATAAATCTCAATCACTTTTCAAGGGGTCTGAAGTTTCGATGTCTGAAGTTTCAAGGTCTGAGGTCTGGAGTTTCGAGGTCTGAAAATTTGAGACACCCGATAATGACAGTTCAAATTTAATCACATTAACCCTTCACTCTCAAAATCTCATTGGTAATTCTCCTTAATGTCTGTCATACAATTCTTATGATGTTATTTTGGAGAATTAGGTATTGGATCAAGTGATAATCCCCTGATTTTCTTATTCTCTTTACTTGTCTACTTGATATTGTATTGATATTGTAAGGAGAAATTCTGACTTGGTCACTCATGGAGTTAAAGAGTTAACAAATGGATTCCATGATGCTGTGCATCAGTTCAGTTTTAGATTACAGATGAAAGCAAACTGTAGTAAGGACAAAAAAATGGCACAAGAGACTCTGCAAGTGTCCCTGATGTTCTTACTGAATTTAGGGGCTGACCATTTAACTTTTGAGGGGGG